TGTTTGTCGACAGCATAGGTCTTGTTTTACATGCACCCCTTAAAGGGGTTTCAAAATAAAATTTCGTATTTATACTTTTTGGACGAAATATCTATGCTGCTAAAATCAATCAATCATTCCATATTAAAATTACCTTTAAATAGTAAATGAACAAGATAGACTATGAAGGGAGGTGCCCATCTAGCTAGTATGAAAGATACTTTACTGATTAATGTCTAATGAAGATTGTCATATTGGTGAGCCGCATAGAATGAAATCTAACTCTTACAAATATGGATGGGGCGACCTTTTGGACCCACCTTCTGTTGACGCAAATGCTGCAACTTTTTATTAAAGTATTTAGTTTCAGATTGGTATCAAATGCATCATTTTCTTATTTTCTGATGATTAAATTAGCTAAATATCTGTGGTCGCTTCTATATAGATAGATTCTCTTAAGTATACGTACTAAAGCTAACAATCTATCCATAGTGCAAGAAGTATGTACTTTAAATATAGCTTAGCTCTGATGCATGCATTTGGCATATATAAAATTATATTTATAAACATTTTAATGAATTACGCATAATGATAACCAGGTGTTACTAATTAAAATTTTGTTTACTTTTCGCTTCAGCTGGGCTGTCATAATTTTGCATTTTAATTAACATGAATGTAAATATGTAATTATTCTTCAAAGGTTAGATTGCGATTTGTTTTTGTTTCATGGAAAAACCAAAAGTCTAAAAAGCAATTTAGCATAAAAACATTTCAATTCGATTGCTTTTTTGAGTTTAATTGTATTTTGCCAATGTGCTAAATCTATTTTCTACGAAATTAAAAACATTTGCCTTTTATATTTAGCTCAGATTCCCAAAAAAATACATCATGTGTTCATATTTTAAAACGCATAAAGCGTGTGCCCGCTTTTTTGTGATCTTTGGTCGGCACATTCATCACAAATATCCAAATATCTGAATATCTGCAAATGTGTATAGTGTATGAGTTATTGTTTTGTTTGTTTCCATATATTCGTTGAAAGGCACAACAAGTTGGGTTTGATTGATTAGTCAGCCACATCGATTTGCTTGATATTATTTGACATATGTTGTTTCAAAAATAAGCATGTGTTGGCTAATAATAAACGATTTGCAAGATGAAAGTTGAAGGGGTCCAATACGTTATATCGCAATGAATCATACATGCTTCTACTGATCACTCATCCCTCTTCCAGTTTCATAAATTTTGCCTATAGACTTTCCAGTATGCACTTTTCGCCTTCGGGTACAGGTATTAACATTATTTTAGAAACAATAGTAAAAACATATTGCTCAACTAACTTTTGATACCTTATGCGTAACTTTTTTCTTTAAATTTTTAAAATGTCTTTTAAATAGTTAGTATAAGTAGTAAAAAGCCTAGGCTCGATATTTTTACAATTATATTATTATATTATACTATATATATAGTATATTATATAGATATTTGCCTCTCTGTTCAAAAACAAAGCTTAGCATTTCTGACGTTCTTTAACAAAATATATGTCGTATGAAAATAAAAACATCTGCTTTGAATTTATATGCGTCTAGACTGTCTTCAAAAACCTCATACCAAACACAATGTACCTTTTAATTTACATTTTGTATGAATAATTTATAAGCAAACTTCTGCATTCAGATTTGTGCGATTTCTTTTTTGTTTTGTTCCAAAACTCTTCGCGAGCATTATATTTGTAAACGTCTTTTCCAGCGTCCTTCACATGTTTAGAGATATTTTTTACGTTTTCTATATATGTATATTTTTGTACCACACAGTCGATATACAATATATTTTGGTTACTATGCTGAAAACAAGAAGGGAATCTGATTCCAGTTTTATTTCGCTCGATGTAGGGTTTATTAACAATTAATGGCTTGAGGCTAGTTTTTACATACTATGAGTATACATTTTCTAGTACTTATGTTTTTTTTCAATTATTTGATTTGCAATCTTATATTATATTATTTTATATATCAGTTGATCTTATCAGAATTTAAATGTGTTCGATATGATTCGCATCTGCCATTCTAATTGTTAAGTGGTTGTCTACTAATTGTTCTTTACGAGGATCCTAAAATCATTTAGAAGATTAAAATACATATATCTACATTAGAGCATGGTTTAACTCATTTCTTTTGTATATTTAAGAAAAATGGTAAATTTAAAAAAAATAATTAAGTTCCCGTGGCCCAATTTGTATATGCATTTATTGCATATTATTCGAAATTTTCAATTTCTTGATAAGCTGGTATTGATTTGAAATTTTAGACCAAAACTCATGAATCTTATTTCCACACAAAATTTATCCAAAATCACGAAGTACACCGATTCCGGCTAAATATATTGTTTTCAATATTAAGATTCTCCGTACTGCGTATGGGTGGAGAAAGTATTGTGTTCGGATTCTAAGTATTCCGGTAGATGGATAGAGTGATGATGTCTTGGACTAATGATGGTCGAACTAATGCATTTTCGTTCATAACTGGATCATTTAGTCTCGTAAAGTATGCTTCTGTGTTAACTTTGGGCGTAATATAATTGGAAAAGCCTATTCTAGCCTTGCATCTGTTGTGCCATTTACAAGATATAGTATGAAAACACAATTTGTTAGTGTTCGCACAACCCTAGACAAATCTTACATGCAATTCCCACTCGGAGGGGCGGTTTCGCTTGTTTGCCCATAAATATTTATTTTTATTGTCGCGCATTATTTGTCGCTCGGCAAATGGGCGATGTCAGTGGGCGGTTGATGAAGGCGGGGTCGCTGCTATCTTATGCACATTTTATCACTGTCAGATGGCGCGCTATAGCTTCTGCTTTTTCTGCTTCTTCTGCGGCTGCAGTGTCGCCATCAAGTCTGTCGCTCTCCCGTTTTGTAGGGGCTGCTGTTATTGTTGTTGTTGTGATTATTCTTGTTGCTGTTATTGTAATGTCATTTCCATTTAAATTGTTGTTGTCACTGTAATAAAATTCTTAAATCTAGGTCCATATCTACGCATTCATTATCCTTGAGATGCAATGCAAATATTCGGGCGCACACTGCGTATACGCTATGCTTGAGACCACGAGAGTGTGTTTATGTTTGTGTGTGTGCTTGTTGGCAAAAATAAATTTTGCATTTATTTTTAAACAACCGCTTGAAATAAATGCACAAGATTATGCAAAAATAGTGCTGCAAATTCCTCATTTCGCTCTATCACTCTAGCCTGTCGCTTTGAATATTTATGGTCTCTGACAAATGTGCTATAAATACCAGAAATTTGTATGTTTTGCCAAAAAGTGCCATTACAACTCGGAAAGTGCTCTAATTGCTGCACTTGGTCAACGCTACAAACATATCTCTTTGGCCTCCTCAAGTGCGTTGCTCTGCCAATGCGAATGAAAATGAAAATAGTGACGCAATTTTAGGGCAGACACTTTTTGGTTCGCACTTCATGTAGGGTTTTATTTTTTAATTTTATAAGTTGGCCAGCTGTTCTATTATTTTATAAATGATTTTTTTAAAACCAATAGCATAAACTATTGCTGGGTGCTTTTAAGATAGCTTAATCAAATATTGAGGCATTCTTGTTTTACTAAATGAAAAAGAAAAAAAAAAACAAATACGAAAAAATTTTAAAATAAATATATTTTAGTTAAAGGAAATTCGAAAAAGATAGCTTTTATATAAAGTGCGGGAAAAAGATTAAATAAAAGAGAGTAAATGAGGTGTTGCCCCACATATCGTTTGAATATTCTACAATTAAAAAAAACATATTTAAGAAATGAAAAATAAGCTAGCCTTTAAAATAATATAATTATCCCGAATCATCTTTAATTTGATCAGTTCGGTTTGTTGCATTATTTAAGTTGAAAACTATTAAAAATTAAATCTTTTCGTAAAAATGTATAGTGGAAAAGAGAATGGAAGCTAAATAAAGTTGTTTCTGATAATATCAATAAACAGTAATGAAAGGAAACAGAAAAGTGCAATGTGGCGTAATTTACTGTTTACTAAAGAGAAAGAACTGAAAAGGGAAATGACTCAAAGAACAGATGGGCTTGCATACTAAAGAAAAAGGTTGTAAATAGTAAAGTTCTAATTAGAGGAAGTTTGCTGCAGTATAATAAAAAGCAATATATGCAACAATAAAAGGAATTGGCTTTAGATCAATTATAAGTTATTAATTTATAATAATTCATATATTGTAGACCCACATATTCGTATAAGGGTGACTTCCTTGGACCAACGATTACTGAGTCTCAAAAATCTTTAGTTATTAGCATAAAAAAGATAACCTTTACTTCATGGTTCACCATAGAATACATGAAAGTGACACATAACTTATAAGCTATTTAATTAAATAATCCTAAACCTTTCGTTTGCCTCCCTAATCTATCATATTTAGATGTATTCTTATCCAACTTGATCATTTCACTGTCTATTTTAATAAAGTATACATACAAGTATATATATGATATACGCAATAATATTTAGAAAAGTGTCACACATTAAAAATAATGCAAAATACTCGACTTTTATTGTGTCGAGGCTGCAATGAAAATCACTCGCACATTAAATGCACACGCGCGCTCAATTTTTCTACTTAGCGGCCGGCCAGCTATTGACGCATTTCAACTTCATCCGCACGTTTCCCCCCTCCAAGCATCAGCTTATTGCTTCTCTCCGCAATCCCTCTTGGGAACACGACAGCAAACTTTCTGCATTCAAATCGACAGAAGCAAAATTGGTTTATTGTGTGCCACTGGGGCAGAGAGCATTCTACTATTGTTGTTATTGGTGTTGTTGTTGCTCCTGCTCTTGCTGGCATTGGTGTGCGCCTGTTTGTGTTTTTTGAAGTAGGCACTTGGGTGCCTTTGCTGACTTTTCTGCTTTTGTCTGCTGATTTGTTGGGCCATGCAAATTGCCAACTACCTCATGACCACATACATACTCGTACCTTAATAAAATATTACAATAACGTTTTACTTTTTCATTGCAGTTTGTTGGCTGGGAGGAGGTGCCGAGGCCGAATACACGCGCTGAAATCGTTCAGGCCATGCGACGCATTAGGGTAAGTATGGGCGCATTGCGTATACGCACTGGGGGAATTCGGAGGATTCATTCTACTAATGACTTAACAGTTTTGTTTGTCTGATAACGTCTGTATGTCTGTGTGTATATGTACATATGTACAACAGTGGCACGTGCAGCTTAGCAAAGCATCAAACTTATCAACTTCCTGATATTCAATGAGTGAAGACCAAACAAAGATTGTCAGCCTGTTGTGCGAGAGCTGTGTTACAAATATTCGTTAAAAATGCTATGACTGTATTATAATCTAAAAGTATAATTACCAAATGCGTAATTTAAATGCCAAAATGTGTGTGCTTTGTGACTTTATATAAATGTAAAAAATACATTACAATTAGAACACTCTCGTTAATTACTAGATAACCCAGTTGCCTAATATGTTTACTTCAACAAGAGAAAAGGAAAAATAATCGAATATTATTAACTTAAATAATATAATTCTTTTGAAGAATGAGGCAATTTAGGAAAACATTTCATACATTAGATATTCAGTTATATTATAAACAATTACAGGTTAGGGGTTATATTCCTGCTTATTAAATACGCTTACTATACTTTAAGAACTTTCATTATTCACAAACTGAAATAAATCAATTGAAAACGTCCAGTTTTCAAATTAGTAATTGTTCAGAGTATGCGAAATAAATGCTGTTTGTAAAAATTTACAATTGAACAGTATTCAGCAATTTCGTTAAAGTTACTCGATTCATTCACAAACTTTGTTTATTTTTCAATTATATTTCAAACTACCCTCTTTAGGCATTAAGATTTCCAACCGCTCTTTTGGGTTTGCTAAATTGAAATTTATCAAACGGCAAAAGCTGCAAGTGTAGGCCCTACTAAGCTGTTGCTGTTGGTGTTGTGCACATGTCACGTGTTTGCGGAGAAATCGAAAACGAAAATCTCATTTGTGAAATTAAACATGCATACGCCCCATAAGCTGTGCTGTGCCTTCATCTGCTTACAACGGCGGCTGCTTAAATTCTTGTTGCCAATTAAAATGAGAATGTTGGGCGCACAAATCCATGGCTGCTGTGGCAGAATCTGAAGGCATTGCTTTCACCCAAGCGTAAGCGGTTTTAAATTCCTTTCTGTTTCCTTCCTGCTGCGCCCACAAGTAGGCAACACTTTTTTTCAGTTTCAGCTCCCTCTGCTTGCCATCTTTGCAGGCTTTGATTACAGTTACATAAAGTAACAATGGCAGCGGCATAAAAAGCAGCAGGCAGCAAACTTGTTTATCTGCCACACCCCCATACACACACACACACACAAACATGCATTCACACGGACAAATATACAAACATTACATACATATGTATAGAGAAGCTGCTCCCCATTCGCGCAACTCATGCAATTTTCGTAAGGCTGTGCGTGCGTAAACATTGTTTGCTGGTTTTGTAACACATGCATGTGTGTGTGTGTGTGTGTGTGTGTACGTGTGTTCGTGCATGTATTAGCTTTGTCTGCCCTTATTTTCGCGCGGTAAATATTGCGCATGTTATTGTCATGTGCCACCATTAGCTGCGCCTTTGCCGTCAAAGCAGTCAAATGTTAATTGAAAATTCAAGCATTACGTCGCTCTCTCATTACTGTTGCCATTGCTCTCGCCGTTGATGTTGACATCGTGACTTTGTGTCACCACGTGACGTTACTTAAGACTGGCATAAAGCGCGGCATTACGGCATGTCACACAGCCACACACACATAGAAACACAATCAAAATCACACCTAAGTCGCAGCTTTAAACGTTCCTTTCATTCCTTCACATCTGTCTCTCTCTCTCTCTCTTTCTCTCACCCACAGTACGAATGCAAAGTGCAGAATCTGAAGAAGCGTAAGGTGACCATAAACATATCGGTAAATGGCGTGCGTGTTGTACTCAAGAAGCGTCGGCGAAAAGTAAGTTTATCTATATCTGTAGTTTATTGAAAGGATTTCACTAAGATGGAGTTTTGCAGAAAAAGAATTGGACCAACGATCCGGAGGAAATCGAACTGCTCAATCATCCCATTTATAGAATATTTTATGTGTCACACGATAGCAGCGATCTCAAGATATTCAGCTATATAGCGCGCGATGCCAGTACGGACACCTTCAAGTGTTCCGTTTTCAAAAGTCACAAAAAGGTGAGTACCTCTATAGGGAATACACCTATATATGTATGTTTATGTATATATTGTATAGTAATTAAAACTGCTTTAACTGCACTTTCACAACAGGCTATTCATATACAAATTCTGTCTGATTTTGTTATTGTTGTGCTGACTGCTGCATATTACTTGTAAGGCAGCCAAATACTGTCATGTGCAAATTTTAATAACCACAAAAATTCCCGCAGTCGCAGATTTGAAAATGGGTGACGACATGTCACTGACGACGACCTGATTGACTGACTGCCTGACTGACTGCTTGACTAGCTTACATGCACATACATATGTATATATATCTATATATACATACATATTGGCTGCGAATCTGTCTATAAATAAAAAGAGCAGTGCGCATTTGAACATGACATTATGTGTGCCTTGTTTTCAAATTGTATGCACACCATTTGGCGTTTATCCAGCGCCAGAAACAGCGAACACAATCGCGCAAATACTATATATCAAAAAAAATAAATAAACAATCGACGCTAATACAATGACGATTACCCAATAATTAGATACACTATTATCAACTTAGGTCATAATAATATTTGAGGGGTGTGGGCTCTTGACTGCATGATCTGCATTTTTCAAGTGCAAAATTAGTTTCTGTAGTCAATTTTTAAATAAAATTGAGGCCAATGTTGGGAAAAATATTTATTTAATATATTTGATTTAAAAGGAGTTCAGTTCACAATCTCTTAATGTTGGACAGTAGAAATGATTACTTTTTTATTCGACGAAGAATGAATCAAATTATAAGCCATCTGAAAAAATACTCAGCTCATTGCAACGATTATTTGATCCACCTCATAATAATGGTTGCACAGAACTGTAATGTCTAGAGGTTTCGCTATAAAGAGCCCATCACGATTAATATTCCACCTTGTTGCGCATTGGCACACTTTTAAACGCATTGCACCCAGTGGCCCCCAGAACTGACATACACGATGCGCTCCTTTGCTAGTTGCCTGCGGCGCATAAGCATCAACGGAGCGGACGGCAACAATATGGCGCAACTGTCTATCAGACAAACGCTGGCCGCCAGTCGCCGGTCGCTACATTTCCGTATTATGGCCAATGTCTGTCTGTCTGTCTGTCTGGGTCTAGCCAGTGGGCCAATTGGCCAGCCAGCTAGCTCGATATTTACTTGACTGGCCGACTGCCTGGCTGCCGGTCCGGATGTCTGGATGTCTGGCTCATCTTTGCGGCTAAGAAGCCGCCGTAGTGAAAATAAAATTCGCATACATTTAATTGTGGCTAGCGGCAGCGACACAACGGATTTGTATGTGCCGCATTATGGGCCGGATTTGTTTAGTAAATAAATCGTTTTACTTTGTACAGCAATTGCAATTTGTTTTGGCCACCAAACAATTTTCTAGAAATCGTTTGAAGTTTTGCTTTTTGTCGTCTTACCGGTAAATTGGAAATGTTTTTGATTAGATGTTTACAATCGACATTTTCCCTCACTCTCGCTCTCAGATCCTAGTGCTTGGCACATTTCTTCATTCAGCTGGCCTTCAACTTTCTCAAGCGACAATGTCAAGTCTGGACGCTTTGGCAGTTGGAATTTCTATTTTTGTGCCACAATTTCTAATTAAGAACAAGTTTTCTGCGAATTCGCAGAAATTTTAAAAAAAGAATCCATCACACAAAGTGACAAGTGACATAAGAAATTAACGCTGGCTCACACGCAATGCACGTATACGGCAGGGATTGCTCATACGCCCCGTGCGTCAGTGGAATACAATAAGCAGAGGCCTAAACGTAGATGAAATGAATAGAAAATGCAGCGCAATTGTCTGAACTTTGTTTGTTGTTTTTGCTCAGTACATTGAACAAGACGACGATAAGGCTGACCACTTGGAAAACAAATAAACGTCGCGCTTCTTTCTGTGGTTGTTTTGGTTGCGGCCGCAGCTGCCAAGACAATGCGATGAAAACGTATGATTTATGGCTCAGGGGCTAAAATTAAAGCTAAGTATCCAAAAAGTGTGGCAGACAAAGGGGCGGGATGAGGCCAGAGAGTGGGAAGTGTGCATTGCTTGTGTTTACTTCCGCGAAACAAAAGGCAATGACGTCACAGCACGCGCTGCACAGTGCAGCAAAAAATCGCGTATACGCCATGGTGGCCACGGAACAAAACAAACGCCACAGGCAGCATGGCAAACAAACGATAGTGTTAACAGCTAAACGAGCAGCACGCAAGCGATCGAAAGAACAAGAAACAGAGTGAGAGTAAGAGAGGCAGAGAGCGTGAAAAGCTTCGCTCTTTTGAGCAACAAAAGCTTCACAGCAACCGGCAACTGATCGAAATCTCACAAATCTTTGTCCAGTGCCAAATGGACGGCGCGCCTTTACAGACGTATATCCTACAAGTCGGCTTACACATACATAACATATAGTACATACATGCATATACATATGTCTAGTGTCTGACCGCAGTTTGTAATCATGCGAAAAAATATAGAATTATGCAACAGTGCGTGCCATGCCACAAATGCAGACTGCAAGTGCATAAAAAGTGAAATCTAACTGCGAATCGGTAAAGGCAACAAATTCAAAACAAACCAACAAACAAATAAACAAATTAACTCTATAAACGTATCAGACAAAGTGTCGTAATGTGCGAAATATAATAAATATTCAGCATATGCGAATGTAGCGAAATGAATTAAATAAATTCACGCAAATGGCATGTCAGAGCGTTAAACAAAATATTTTGCTAGTCCATAGATCATGCGGTCAAATGAAATGGAAACAAGCATCGAAAAAGTTTAAAAAACAGCAACAATTACCAAAGCAATATCAGGCCACAAAAGTGTTTGTCATGAGTGCCTTGCTTTGGTTTGTGCCACGTTGATATTTTTTTGCAAGCCGATTTTTTCAATATACATAAAGGAATATATTTGACGCTGCTGTTGCCCTGACGCCATTAAACGAACGCTGGCTGCCAGGCAAATCACTTTTTGTTGCCTTATTTTAAAAATAAAAACAACAGCATTCTGTTTTTAAATTCGACAACAAAAACAGAATTAAAAAGGCGCTACAATGCCAAGCAACTGGCTGTAGAGCAGCCATATCGTAGCTGAGTTGAACTGAACAATTGAATAATGCGCTGAGTGTGCGAGAGAACAGGAGACCAAGTGGGCGAATTCGAGTTGTCAAATGTGTAAAATTAATTATGGCCAAAAGTTGCATGACACGTGGCAGAAAATATGTCAAAAAATGGGGAGGGAACGGGTGGAAAGGCAACCTGAAAAGAATATCGAATTTTAATTGCAAACCAAATAATTATTACAGGCTCTGGGATATAAATGACTTTGCCAGCATATAGGCAACTGTTCTAAATACATCCACAATGATCCAATGCTTTGCTTTAATTGATCATATATTGCGCACTCCATGTTCTCACCTTTACGAAACCAATAACAAATATAAAAGCGTTTGTCTGACGTAGTTGGCTAACATTGTTTATGCATATTAGACAAGACCATAAAATTGCCACAAACTTGGGGGCCAATCGCTGGCGCCGACCGCCAACCGCCCACTCTGCGCTAGCATCGATCATAACACAGGTCCCTACCAATGCCAACAACTTAACGAGCCATATTCCCCACAGGTAGTCGAAGGCGTAAGCATAAATAAATAAGATTATGGGAAATAGAGACGCACACGTGATAGCACGAAATATTTATGATTTTAGCTCATTTATTTATTTTTAAAAAAGCCGCCCATAAGAGAAATACAAAAACATACACTCACAAAAAACACACAAAACTTTCGATAAGTCCACAAGTTCAATTCCAAGTGAAAACGTAAAATAAAAAACATCGTGCATAAAATTAAATTATATATTTTCAGTTCGAAAGTATAACGATTTGCGTCAAACTATATTTATTAGCTAGAGTGCAGTGTTTCGTTATTGTTTACTTCCTCTGCTAAAGCACCTTCAATCATTCATTTTGATCCAAGTTATCAGCTAAGTTTTTCTCTCAATGCAACCCATAAATATAAAACGCAAATTCCTGAAAGCAAATTGGAAGAATGTGTCACAGAGTGCGAGTAAAAGCATTGAAAATCATTAAAACTAAATAAAATGCAAGCACATTTCTATGTTTATTCCAATTAAATTCCTCAAAGAAAATGCTGAATTGTCAATTTTATTGAAGACGACCGGCAATTTCTCAATTGCTTGCCCGGCAGACGGGCAAATATTTTTCCGGCTTTTAATATTCATGTTCATGTTCGCCAGCTCAATGCTTACCCTTCTTCCCTCGACTCCTCCACCACAATCCTTGGTGTAAATGAAAAATTTACTAGAAGTAGAACCGAAATCGGCAAAAGCAACCGAAACATGTTCGTGGAAGACGCAGTTGTAGACAACAGAGCCCCACAAAATGGCCGCAATCAGCAAAAATTCAGTTTTTCGCATACAGCAAAAATAGATTCATTATTTTAATAGCCATTTTAAAGTATTTTGAAAATTGAAAATATATCATTTTGACTCGTACACGCTTGTTCTCTGCTTGTTGTGCTACTTGAGGCCAACAAGAAACAAATTACTTATGAATATACGATAAGTATGCATACATATATAAGTTGGTACTTAAAATACAATTTTTGCTCGCAGCTCTCCGGCGGGAAAGTCAATTAAGTTTTCCTGATGATAACTAAATGTCTTGGATGAAATAATGCTTCAAAGTTAAAATCAAATAATTATGTGTTGATGTTTTAAGACATGCCTTCGCCACAGAAAATTGCAATATGATGTTCACGTCTGTGTGTGTGATATGTATTTGTTAAAAGGATCTCAAGTATATAAGTTTTCGTGCAATTAGTTATCAAGTAGTTTACCCTTGAATTGGTTCGCATAATACTTCAGTTTAATGAAAATAAACACGTGCATGCCACAGCCGAACTAAATGGGAGTTATTTGTGGTTTTAAGTTCAAATTAATAAGTTACAAAGCAAAAGTT